TAAGAACACAAAAATTAACCCAACATTGGGGTTGTCTAAATTTGACCCAACGCTGGGTCACAACAACCCAGCATTAATAATAAATAATAAATTGTATTCTTTTGTAATTTATTTTACTCTAAATGTCGTCAACTTCAACCTTATTACAGTTGCTTATTACGTTCTGTTTTCGTCTAATTGTTCCACGTTACGTTATTTAATTTAATTAGAAAGCAATCATTTTAATAGTTTTAAGTTAAAGGTAACAGCACTGCTCGTAATGAACCCAGAACTTTCCTTTAATAAACTATTTCTGGGAAATATGAGGTGAAGTGTTAACCAACGCTTGTTATTGTAAAATCCGTGGCTAAATTACAGCCAGTTTACGATAGTAACGACTATAACGAATGTTATTTGCTCAGATTGTCTGGATTCCTGAGAGGATCTGGTGACGTTCGAGTCATTTTTCATCTGTGATTCAACTGAATGATTCAACCATGTGTTTAACTCAACTATATTTGGTTTTCGAGACTTGCTAAATCTACTTTAAGATGGTCTTATTTGTATCTCTCTAACAGGAAGGATGTAGATTCATCTCCTAATTCTGGCTCAGATGAGAAATGAATCCACGACCTACAGGTTTGGCCAAAAGTGAACTGAAGCAGACATTACGCTCACATGGCGAGTGACTGCACAGGATTCCAGCGTGGTAAAGTCTTCACAAAGTAGTCCTGGGAAAGTGCTCTTGGGTTTGAATTATTGAACAGGTGGCTCTTCCGAAGCATCCAAGTTTCCAGATATGGCTCAAGTCTCTCTTTTAAAGATGTGTTTTCACCTGTTTTACGGTGAAAATCACAAGGCTGATCAGTTAAATGGGTCATGAATGAATAAATCTAAATTCCCTTGACCTTCTGACACCCAGCTGAAGACACAATTATTATCCCTCCTGTGAAATTTGTGTTATGTTTTCAAATATTGTCCCGGTGTTGTTTAAGAGAGCACAATATTTTCCACAATATTTCCTAGACTGCAAAAAAAAAGCTTTTTACTTTGAGGTTTTGTCTTGTTTACAGTCCAAATGTCTAAAAGGCAAGAAGCGTTTTCTAGACAAGCAAATAATAATGGCTTGTTTTCAGAAATAGTAAATTTTTTCTTAAAACAAGCATAGACCACCATGCCACACTTTGAGCCAGACTTTATTGTAGGGATGAAAGTGATGGTAAGGGAACAACGGGATGAAGGGGAAGGGAAGTAAGAAGATAAACTGAACAAGTAGGTAGATTGATCGGGCGTCCTACGATGATGCCCAGACACTCAGAGTGGGGGTACCATTTCTGTAATACTTTGGCAGATTTATTGGACCCCCCTGATTCAACCTAGGAGGGAAGACAGGTTTATAGGATTGTTAACGGGAAGCAAAGGTATAGAGGGAGGTAGGGTTTGAGCAAATGAGAAGAACAGTGCTAGAGCTCTAGTGTGCCTTAAAGGGCACATAGTTTACCCCTTTTTAATGATTTAATATTAATATTATGGTTCTTTTGAGTGTGCCAGTTTAAGTTCAGTTCAACACACAGTTCAGATGTTTTTATTATAATATGTTAAAAAGTGTCATGTCACAGCTAAAACCACCAGGCTGGTCAGCCTGGTTTAAGCTGGACATAGTACTAGGCTGGTCAAGCTGGTTTTAGCTGGTCATCTCCCAGCCTGTCCAGCTAAGACCAGGCTGAAAATGGCTAAAAACCAGCCTAGAAGTGGCCAAAACCCCTTTAACACCAGGCTGGCCGACCATCTAAAACCAGCCAACCATCCTAGGGATATTACAAAGATTCATTGTTTACATTATATTAAGCTACAAGTCTTGACACCCACAGTGTAAAAATGCAGGGTTCCACACAATTCACTCATCTTGTCCCAACACAAATCAATAGGTTATGTCAATTGGCCTGACAAATTTAAGTGGATTGAACATAAAACAAAGAAGAAAAAAAACAAATAAACTCAAGAATTGTGTTGTTCCAGCTAATTTTAAATAAGTAGTTTGGTCAAACAGCAAAAATATATATATTTATAAATAATATCTTAATATTTTTTTCAGTGCAGCATTCCCTCCCTGCTGAAAAATCCAGCTTAAACCAGCCTAGGCTGGTTGGCTGGTTTTAGCTGGTCGACCAGGCTGGTTTTAGAGGGGTTTTGGCCACTTCCAGGCTGGTTTCCAGCCATTTCCAGCTTGGTCTTAGCTGGTCAGGCTGGAAGATGACCAGCTAAAACCAGCTTGACCAGCCTAGCCAAGCTGGGAGTCCAGCCAAAACCAGCTATATCCAGCTTAAACCAGGCTGGTCAATTTAGCTGGTCATTTTCCAGCCTGACCAGCTAAGACCAGGCTGGAAATGGCCAAAACCCCTCTAAAACCAGGCTGGTCAACCAGCTAAAACCAGCCTACCAGCCTTGGCTGGTTTAAGCTGGATTGTTCAGCAGAGAAAGAAACAGCAGCATCTCTCTTCATTATGCCAGGTTATCTGACATTCAGTACCACCAAAGAGCATAATTATACACAATTTGTAAACCTGTAGGCCTATCTAAGGAAAAAAAGATCGAACTGTGTATTTGATTAGGCTCAAAGTAGGTTAAAATCTGTCAAATGAATGTTATTTTCTCCTCAGTACTCGTAAAATCATACAATTCCCGCCTCTATTAAAAAAGCGCCAGTCAACAGCCAATCAGCGCGCTCTGATGAAAACACCTCAGAGAGTGACAGCAAGCGCGCTCCTTCTTCTCACATCTGTTTCATTTGAAAACAGTATGGCACTTGGGTGAAAACCAACCATTTGGCCCTTTTTATGAAGCATTCCTTTCAAACATCTTACCTCAGACGGATATTTTCCATCTGAAACGTCGATTATTTTTAAAAGAGCTCTCGTTACTGAGATACGCGGGTAAACAGTGTAATAAGTCTGCGCCCTCTGCTGGACAACTCATGCAAACGCAAGATATGCAGATCCACACTTAAATAATACTGCATTTCACAATTCCTTACTTTTAATTAGTTCCCAGACGTTTTAGAGGAGCTCTTTCTATATTTAAACGCATATGATGTATGTTTAGATGTACGTTTAGTGCTAAATGCTATATGCTAATGTAAACAAACGTCCAACATCCTGTTATAACTCCAAAGTGATCTAAATGATTAAATATATTCAGCTAATGTTTGAATGCTGCATATATTTTTAACAAATCAGACAGCTTAACTTTCAAAGTCAGCCTAGATTGGATTTGTTTATATTCATGCTAGTCACTCATAAGCACATTAAAAGTCTGTTAGCATCTCTGGGGATTCAGTCTGACAGAGTTCATCTTCTGTAGATGTGTTTAATACAATCGAGATCATGTATAGCAAGTGCCCTTGGGTGTAGGTTCATAATGGAGTGTGTAAGCAGATCCAGATGGTGCGTCTGATCACTGCTAATAAAAGCCCATCTGCAAAGTTCTTCTTTAATCAACCTGAATTAGCCAATACTATATAGTTCTGTATAGTTGTGCTATAACTACAGAAAATAACCACAAACCATTATAAAAATAAATTAATAAATAAAATTATTAAAGAGTAGTTAGAGATTTAATTAATATAACCTATTAGAACGATAGAAAATAACCTTAAAACCATGGCTTTAAAAAAATCTAATTATTATGGTGTGCTGTGTTAACAATGAATCTATAAACTATAGCCTACTAGTGTCTATTTTTAACCTACTAAGTATGCTAATGTGACTGTCTATTTAATAGTTTAATGAATGAGTGTTAGTTATCCAATTATTAATGAACTAGTTTGCATTACTTAGCACTAGTACGTAATTAAACATATACCGATACATTAAAAAAACACTCTTGCTTACTCGTTAAACTCATTAATTGAATAACTCCATTAAACGTTTAAATAGACACTCATACTTAGTATATCTTTGGTATTAGGTAATTAGTTTTAATGTTGAAAGAGATTGCCATATAATTATTATTTCAGAGGTGTTACATAACACTTTTTAATTAGATAATCTTTCAGTTTCGTCTTCTGTACAGCATTATGATTACAATAAAGGCATTACTATCCACATACAAAATCTTCAGCAATATCTTACATGAGTTTCATAGGAAATCCCAACTTTGTATTAAACTTTGGGTATTTTTAAATGATTTATAATGAGATTTATTAGATTATTCACTAGCAAAGATGATTTTTTTTTGTCATTAAATTATATCAATAGTGCAGTTACGAAGTTTTTCTTACTTAGTTTTCATCATTATAATGTCTAAGCATTTTTAAATCAAAATAAATGTTCTTGAGATCCCAAATGCATGCAATTAGAAGTATTTCTTTATAAAAAATATTATCAAAAATACATAAAATGACTGCCAACGGAGTCTACAAAATCAATATTGTGAATTAAACCTATATTTGTGGCCCCACCACATAAGATTTATTAAGAAACACATATTAAGAAGCATTTTAAGAAAATAAGACTTATTATAGAACTATTTTTACTTCTAATATAAATGCATAATTAAAAAATGCTTCGATTTTTATACTAGAAACCAAGATTAAAGCTAATACACGAGAAACAATATATATTTTTAATAATATTCCTCCAGGATGACAACTTGTGACTCATTTGGATCTGCTTTTAGTTTTCCATGAACCCAAAAAGCAAAAGTCATTAAATTTATATTATATTATTATTATATTGTATTATTTTTTATTATATTTGTTATATTAATATTATTATATTATATTATACTATATTATGTTATATTTTATTGTTATATTATATTACATTTATTATATTTGTTATATTATTATTATATTATATTATACTATATTTTTTTATTTATTATTATATTATATTATATTATATTATATTATATTATATTATATTATATTATATTATATTATATTATATTATATTATATTAAGTTTTAGTGCAAATAATCTCACTGTTTTATGCTCAGAGTAAATGCAGTAGCAGACTCACCTGGCATGAGTGCGCTGACCCACAGAAGCAGCAAGTATGTGTACTCCATCAGCATGTGTGTGTGTGTGTGTGTGTGTGTTTGAGTTTCTCTGCTCTCTGATGGAGTCCTGAAGCGCAGCAGAGCTTGATGTAGAAGGAGGAGCTGCAATGACATGAAAACTGAGAGAGAGAGAGAGAGAGAGAGAGAGAGAGAGAGAGAGAGAGAGAGAGAGTCTGGAGCACCTGAGAGCTGTGCTTATTACTGATCTCATGCTTTTACTGCTCGCTCGCCCACTCTATTTCTCTCTCTCCCCTCCTTTTTCTCCATCCAGATGTCTAGCAGTGGAAAATCAAGATATATTGGATGGGAAACACCACAGATGTGCAAATTTATTTTCAGAGGATGGAGATTTTACACTCCAAAAGCTGAAATTGAGCTTAGAAATTGCTGGTTAATTTTACTGTGTATTGAATGAGCATAGAATTCAATTCATTCATTTTCCTTTGGCTTACTCCATTATTTATTCGGGGTCGCCACAGCGAAATGAGCCGCCAACTATTCCGGCATACATTACACTCTCTGAAATAAAGGCACAAGAGCTGTCACTGGGGCAGTACCTTTTCAAAAGGTACATATTTGTACCTAAAAAGTCCTTAGTGGTACCTCAAAGGTGCATATTAGTACCCAAATGCACCTAAAATGTACATTTGAGGTACCACTATGCACTCTTCAGGGACAAATATGTACCTTTTGAAAAGGTACTGCCCCAGTGACAGCTCTTGTACTTTTATTTCTGAGAGTGTACCTGACATATTTTAAATCTTGTTGTGGATCTCAGTTGTAAGATTAACAGATAATAACTTGACTTCTAGTTGATCATTTGGAAAGTGGCAGATATTTATGATGAATCATCTGCTGAGCTGCATCCCAATCATCACCAATACTGCAGAAGACCTACTGGAACCCACATGCACCAAGATTCTCACAGAAACCAGTCAAGTTTGGTGAAGGAGAAATCATGGTTTAGGGTCATTCAGTATGGAGGCGTGCGAGAGATCTGCAACATCAACAGCCTGAGGTATCAAGACATTTGTGCTGCCCATTACATTACACGTCCTGATTCTGCAGTGTTCCAGGGTCAACAAAGGTGGAGCTTGTGATAGTTTCAACCAATCCATACAATGTTTCAACCAATCAGATGTCCGTGCGTGCGGTAGCTGGTCACGTGACGACGCGATAGCGCAAATTTAGGCGGCAGTTTTTTAATCCCATCCTGACGGCATCATCGCGATCTGGGAAGGTAAGTTAATTTCCTCAATATTTGCATCTAAGACTACTTATTACTCAATAAAGGATACTGGTTGTAATTTCGTGATGGATCTGTTCGGTAAAATCCTCAAATAAGGCATAAATCGTTTAAAACCCTCGTTTTTGAGGCCGTTATAAGAGCCGTCAGACCGAGGGAGAGAGCCGTTTTTTTCCTGTGATCTAACGTTATTATTATTAATAATGATATGATTATAATAGGCTAAAGATAATATTGAAATGTTTTGTATAATAAAAATGATTTTAAAAATAGTTGTAAGCCCAGACCATCTTTCTTTTTATAGCTCATGTAATATTAGACAGACAACGCTTGATCACAGTATAATAATAATTATTATTAAAATAACAGCAACAATAATAATAATAATGCATAAATAATGATAAAAATAATAGGCTAATAATAATAATAAAATGTTTTGTTAGCCCAGGGCCATCATTCATTATATACTATAATAATAATAATAATAATAATAATAATATATAAATAACGATGATAATATCGGGCTAACATTTATAATAACAATAATAATGTATTAATAGTAATGAAAATAATAGACTAATAATAATTAGATATCTTGTTAACCCAGGGCCATCATTCATTATATACTATAATAATAATAATAATAATAATAATAATAATAATAATATAAATAACGATGATAATATCGGGCTAACATTTTTAATAACAATAATAATGTATTAATAGTAATGAAAATAATAGACTAATAATAATAATAATTAGATATCTTGTTAGCCCAGGGCCATTATTCATTATATACACTACAATAATCTCATTACAAACCACAGATAAGGGCAAATACTCCAGCAGGATAGCGCTCCTTCTCATACTTCAGCTCCCACATTAAAGCTTCTGAAAGCAAAGAAGGTCAAGGTGAATGTTATATATATATATATATATATATATATATTTTTTTTTTTTTTTTTGGATGTCTGTGTGTTTATTTGTTTTCAGTGTGTATTTGTGGTGGAGCAGCAGGTCTGGAGTGTGTATCATGAGCCGCCGGCTGCTATAAACGCTCCAGCAGAGACGCTCGGGGTGTGTTTGAGCTCATAATGTTCACAGCCAAACCTCCAGATGATTCAGACGAGCTGAAATAACATCAAACAGCAGTGAAGTCAGACTGTGTGTGTGTGTGTGTGTGTGTGTGTGTGTGTGTGTACTGTATGTATATTTGTGTCTGTAGTGTGATTGAGGGAGCTAGTGTGTGTGTGTGTACATGTTTTTTGTGGTTTATGAGGACACATGTGTATATAAACATGGGTATAATGCTGGCGTTTCTTTTATAAGATGCTATGCTATTATAAACATAATTAATTTTCCAATGCCTCCAGCCGAACTCTTCAGCAGTCTGTTGTTAAATAGTTGTGAGTGGATTTATTTTCTCCAGATTTTCAGTCAGAAGTTGTTTCTCAGAGGCAGAAATCTCTCTGTCAGGGTGACACGGTAAATCACTCATTTGATTCTGTCCTCTGGGAAATACTTTCTGAAGCCAAGAATATCATCTGAGCGTTGAACGCATGAGTTCTGAATCTACTGCGCTAAATTAATTTACTCTTATTAAAGATTACATTTTGATCATTGCATTAACTTTCATCTCATTTATGTTAGTATACAATCCTGTATTATAATTACTAGTGCAACTGTGTCTGCTGCAGTTTAATTTCAGTGTATTAATTGCACACTAATGTTTTTTTTTCTGAGACATGTACAGTAATTAGACTCTATGAAAAAAGCCATAATTTCTTTTTTTCTAATATTTTTAATTTATAAAATACATTTAATGACAATTTTGTACTGCAGTGGCTGATGGGAAGGTGTTGTGTGTCCTCTCTCTGCCACACGAGGGCGCCAGACATTGACATTCACACATTCAGCAGATGATTTTATCCAAATTGTTGCAAATTTCCTTTTTTTATCCCATATTTAAAATGTTTGTAGTCAACGTCCTTATTTAGCCCCATATTTAATATCTAACCCCATTTGTAATATTTAACCCAATATTGAAAATGTTTGGGGTCATATTTCATATTTAATCCAATATTTAAAATGTCTGGAGTCAAATTTCATATTTACCCTATAATTATAATGATTGGAGTCATTTTTTTATTTAACCCTATATTTAAAATATTTACAGTTCCGCATTTAACTGCGTGTTTAAAATGTGTAAAGTCAAATGTCATATTTAGCCCTATATTTAATATTTAACCCCATTTGTAATATTTAACCCTACATTTAAAATGTTTGGAGTCAAATTTCTTATTTGACCCTGTATTTAAAATGTGTAGAGTCATATTTAATATTTAACCCAATTTTAATATTTAACCTAATATTTAAAATGTTTGGAGTCATATTTCATATTTAACCCTACATTTAAAATGTTTGGAGTCAAATTTCTTATTTGACCCCGTATTTAAAATATTTAGAGTCATATTTAATATTTAACCCAATTTGTAATATCTAACCCTACATTTAAAATGTTTGAAGTCAAATTTCATACATGACCCCATGTTTAAAATATTAGTCAATTGTCTTATTTAGCCCTTTATATAAAATGTTTGGAATCAAATTTCATATTTCATTTAAAATGTTTGGAGTCAATTTTATTATTTTACCCTATATTTAAAATGTTTGGAGTCAATTATATTATTTAACCCTATATTTAAAATGTTTTGAGACATATTTCATATTTAACCCTTTATTTAAAATGTTTGGAGTCAATTATATTATTTAACCCTATATTTAAAAATCTTGGAATCATATTTAGTATTTAACCCCATTTGTAATATTTAACCCCATATTAAAAAATGTTTGGAGTCATATTTCATATTTAATGTAACCCCATAATTTAAATATTTTAAATCAAATTAGATATTTAACCCCATATATAAAACGATTTAACCCCATATATAAAATGTTTGGCAAAGTTTGACAAATTCATATTTAACATCATATTTGAAATGTTTGGAGACATATTTTACCCCATATTTAAAAGTCACATTTCATTTTTATTTTAACCCCATATTAAAAAAAGGTCAAATTTCATGTTTAACTCCATTTTTTTATTTAACCCCATATTTAAAATATTTGGAATCATATTTCATATTCAACCCCATTTTTTAAATATTTAAAGTCATATTTTTAACCCCATATTTGATATTTAACCCCAAATTAATATTTAACCCTTAAAAATGTTTGGAGTCAAATTTGATATATAACCCCATGTTTAAAATATTTGGAGTCAGTTTTCTTATTTAGCCCTTTATATAAAATATTTGGAGTCATATTTCATATTCAACTACATTTTTAGAACATTTAAAGTCATATTTTTAACCCCATATTTGATATTTAACCCCATATTAACTAACTTTTACTCATTTACAATCAATTTGTCTCATTCACTGAATGTGTTTAGTGTTTCATAACTTGAGCAGCAGATTAATTTAGCTCATGTGGAGGATGATCAGAGCTTATGTTAACATGACAGTTCGGCAGTGTGTGTGTGTTATATAATGACTAAACAGAGAGAGAGAGAGAGAGAGAGAGAGAGAGAAGCAGTTGAGCGAGAGTTGTGTGTATTTGTGTTTCAGTCACACACTGAACAGCAGAAGCACATGCGTGTCTGTGTGTGTCAGTGACTCTCTGTCTGTCTCCTGTAGTTTACATTCATCTGTTCTGAAGCACAAGATCAAGCTGGAATATTTCGAGGAGAGCAGACGATCTTCACGACCGAACTTACGGTAAGATGACTACAGTAACACCAGAAGATGCTGGATAAACATTTATGCTCAGAAAAGCTAGTCAAGCTGATGACTGATTCCAATATTCATTATTTAGTTAACAATATATTA